GTGGTTCTTCCACAGAATTTCTCTGTTAAGCTAGTCAGCTTTTCTACTGGGTTGAGTACAGTTGTATTATTTAGTCATTATTCTACTGGTGAAAGCCGTAGGGTTGTTTCATTCTTATTCATTAGTATCATTCTGTGTGTGTGTGTGTGTCTGTTTTTTCATTATTCTGATAGAATTGTAAAATTAGTTTAAATGTTTTCTTTATTGCTGGTAAACTGCAGAAAGTTTGTCTGAGCTATAGATGTGCTGACATGGATCGGGAAATACCTGCTCTACTGGGTGTCTCAAAAGCTATTCTTGAAAATGTTGTATTTGTACATCAAGACGAAGCCAATTGGCCTTTGCAAGATCCTGCAACATTAAAAAAGAAGTTTGATGATATCTTCTATGCGACCAGCTGTTTGTCCATATCCCCTGAGCCTTTTTGACCCTAATGATCAGACTGTTTGTCTGGTTATTTCTTACCTTTTGTGTTTACTATTAGTTGTCTACATATATGTATGTGTGTGTGTATATATATATATGTATGTATTATCAAATATCTTTGTTAGTTTTGGTTATTGATATTGTGATAAGATCCCAAATTATGATGAAAAGGTGTTTGTGTATCTGGTTAAATTACAAAACCCTCACCATATTTGCCTCATAATTACACTTTTCTTCAACTTTTTACTGAAAACATACACTTGCTTTCATCCATGGTCTAAAATGACCTAAACTACACATTATAGCCCCTAGCTAATAGAAAAATGAAAAAAAGGAGGTTGATAGAGAAGGAAAAAGACCTAAATGCGAATGTGGGTACCTAGTTGTAAACAGGGTTTTTGTTTGTTTGCCCTTTTAAGTGCACTTTGCAGAACCGAATGAAGCAATTGATGTTATCTGGATGCCTTTCATCCATGGCCTGTGCGGTTCTCTCTCTATTGTCTTGGTGCATTTTTTAGTCCTTTCCTTCTTAGTGTGCTTCTTCATCAAACTTGTTCTAACGCTATGTAGCATCAGACAGATATACAAAAGCATTAGAAGTCATAAAGAAGCTTCACAAGGATCAGGCTCTCGAGATAAAATCTTACAAGCTGAAATTGGAAAATCT